TTGTTAGTGCACTGTACTTCTTTTGTTAGATGTTCATTGTGCTTCTACATTCACGAGCAACAAAAAATAAAGCTTTGTTTCTTACCTAGTGAGTAGCAAACTAAATACTGCATTTTAACAATTTCAGTTTTCTACACGCTTACTTCCTGGAAACAGGGTTTTATTCTCCCTAAAGTGACAACTCTTTTCCTTTAATACCTAACATACTTGCTCCTGTGAGTTCTTCTGGAGGAGTGTTGGCCTTTGTGGAGATAGAATGAGCCACTGTTGGATCAACAAAGTGAGCTTCGCTTGATGAAGTGACACGCTGAACAGATCTGATTTGGCTTAAAGCTGTCATTCCTTGTGAGAAAAATGTTTTCTTTGGATGGGACTTAGCGGGCCAACAGGTCCCAACTGAAGATGTCCTTGTAATGGAGTCTTGGATGACCACTAGCATGGTGTGGCCAGAATTTTGTTCGAGGGGTTCTTGGCGGGGAAGCACTCATCAACAGCAAACTGATAAACCATAAATGGTGGAAGGGATCAATTCTTAGCTTTTTAAAGCAAATGTGATTTTTGTGCTTTCTGTTCCCTTTTTGTTTGTCTTGCTTTTTGGTGTTTCCGCATAGTGGGGAAAAGCCTTTGTTTTTCTACTTATTTTTTTTGTCCTTGGTCCTATGGACTTTTGTGCGCATATTTTCTCGTCAACACTTTGGGTATAAAGCAAAATCCTATGGCATTGAAACTGAACATATATAAAGAACCTATAGCAAAGGTGTTTTGTGAAGCATGACGTCATCATGATGATGTCATCACCTGATTTGTTATAGAATTTTTAATTTATTTAATTTATCTGTTATATTTGTACACATTTTTCAACAGCAAGACTTCAACACTTTTACCAATCTGACTGACTACACGCTCTTAGTGAATCAGCTAGTAGAGGGTCCAAGAACAAAATCTTCGTCATGAGGTCACCAGATGTTACGTGACATGGCATTTAAGGCGCAAACTTCACAAAGCCCTACATCTCCTGAAGTACACGTCTTATTTGATTAAAAACATGCAGACAGCTAAAAAGGAATTATCATAGATGAAAAATTGACCCGATTTGGTGATGACGTCATCAGGTGACAAGTCACACTACATTAAAATTGCACCCTTGAAAGAAGAGTATCTGCACATCTGATTGGGATGAAACCTTGCAGATAGCTAGAATGAGAAGTGTTGCTGACAAAAAATATCATCATGTGATGATGATATCATCAGGTGCCTCTTTTAAAGACCTGTATCTCCTGAAGTAAATGCTACATTGTATTGTAACTTTGCAGAAAGGGCAGTGTTTAACATATACAGGTACATGTAAATTGATATCATGTGATGATGACGTCATCAGGTGACAAATCATGTAATGTTAAAGGTGTACCGTTTAAATCGCTATATCTCACAAAGTACATGTCCGATTGGGTTAACTTTGTCTGTAGCAACGAAAGGAAGTGTTGGAGATGAAAATTGACATCATGTGATGATCACCACTATCGAAGCACCTTGTATTTGTCAGCAAACACATATCTTTTTTTTGACAATTAAACATATTTGCGGACCAAATTCTTGTTTTCCTCAAAAAAGCCCTGTTCTGGTCTTGACTGGACATAGATTCTAGTTTTTTCTTTTTTTCTATTTTTCATCCTTTTTAGGGGAAGGGGGGGAGTGGCAAGCATCTGTTCTCCTCCCCCTTCCTCCGTAATGCCCAAGACTACTGGGCTTGAAGCATAAGCATATTCTCTGTGAAGGTTGTCGTTTGGTCTCCTTATCCTGTCTGCAGACATCACTACATCGTGAACGACAAGCTGACAGCAGTGTAAATAACATTGATGTCTTTGACTCCAGTGAGCTCAATGAAGACAGTACCTGAGACTTGGTCTTGCCAGGATCTGCTAAGATTGGATTATGCGACGGTGTATGCCTGGCCTCTGTTGGTGATCCCGGAGTCGGTGGCTTTTGGTGACTCTGCTCCAAGTGGCCTTTACAGCATGGAGCACAAGAAACAAAACTTGAATTTTGCATTTCTTTATTTTTCTTGACAGGGTTTGGGCTTTTTGTATGCCAACGGCATAAGCTTCAACTCCAGCCAAGCTAAAGCACTGGTGTTCTTCACATTTGCCGCTTTAGGAGGTGATCCCCATGCCCAAATGATTCTGGTAAGTTGAGCTGTGTGTACCAGTAGCGTAGCAAAGGGGATGCACAGTGTCAGAGTGCAACTGGCTAGGAGTATCACCAGCGAAATTGGGACGCTGATTGCAGCGGAAATGGGACAGCTAACAGATTATAAATGCACACTTGGGACAATGAAACCAGAAATCATACACGTTAGTGTAAAACAAGGACGGTGAAAATTGGTGATGTAAACATTGAATATTGTGTGACAATAATAGCTTAGTTTTATAAGTTAACCTAAATGAGACAGAATTCTGTGTTGCACTGGTCAAACAAAAGTGCTGGCAGTGTCAGCTCTGTGCTTTTGAATTCTCAGTGACTGCAAGATAAAAACCTCTGGTAAACAAGATGGCAAGTATCAAGGGCTGTTTGAAGAGGTTTTTTGTCCAAAACGTTCCAAATCCAGCAAGAGTTAAGGAACGGAGAAACTCTAGCAGGTAACTTAGCCTGTTTGAAGCATGCCAGACACAAAAGGAGGCGGTTATTTGAAGTGGGTAAATTTGGAGTCAACAAAAGCTATAATAGTGCCCTCCTTTTGTGTACACTGTACCTCAAATGAGGCCTTTATCTTACAAACAGTTGTAAAAGAATAAAAATCCTGAAGATGGAGGGTTGGAATGGATCTCAGCTTTGCTTGATTCATCATTTATAATCCAACCCTTGCCGGTTTTCAACTAGTTTGAAAATTCTTCCTACATAATTGAAACAAGCCCATTCCATTGATAGGGGTATCACTACTGGTCTGGTATCGGGGTGACTCAACACTGCGAGACTGCACTGACATACTACAGGAAAGTGGCTAATACAGGTGGGTGGAGAGGCCTTGCAAGATGCCTTGTCTTTCTTATTCATTGACAATGCATTTGTCTACTACAACTTACGAGCAAAAACACTCAGCAAAACTAAAGCATATGATATTGTCTGTCCAAGGGTTCTGTGTTGGAATAATGTCTACTGTGATCACGGTTGACTGCATGCAAGATTAGTTGAAGGTACCGTCTGGAATACAATAGAAGCTGCTGGTAGATTAATGCACATGTTACAAACAAGCTGAAATGGCAACCAAATAGTCTGCAGCCTTGGTGATTGTCTTGTAGCACTGGTCAGCATTTGTGGCGGATACACCATGAGCATATTGGAATATGACTTTGAAGTCCAGCCACTCAACAAGGAAATTAAGATTTTGACTGCTTGAGAATCATTTTGTGCATAGCTACCATGAATGCTGGAAGAATTTTCATGGTTGAACTTGAGTGGGATGTTTATATTTATGTTGATTAGAAGTAGCCGATAAATAAGTCAACGCACTTGGCTCTGTTTCAACCCTTCCCATTTATAACTTTAAGCTGATAATTAATCTTGTTCAAGTTGAATAATTAACTTCCTCGATCAGATATGTTTTTCCTGACTGTGTTGCCTTTTAAAACATCTTCTGTTTGAGCCTCAACTCTTAAAAATTGCTTTTGAAAAATTGTTTTGAACATGCAGTTGCCGATCAAGTCTCACACAGCGGCGGATCAGTGGTGCAGCGGATTCGACTGTATGATGAAGATGAGAATACAGGATCCCATGGAGGTGTCTTAGATGAGGACCTGATTCAGTATTACCAATTCCTTGCTGACAAGGGGGACACCCAGGCCCAGGTAACGCACCTCTTGAAGGAGGGCTTCTCCCAGAAGAATTGTCAAAATACTGGGTTAGGGCCATTTTTGTCAAATCGGCTCATTGTCTGAAGCTTTGACATCTGGAGTTCCAGAGTAACTTTTGAAAAATTATTAATTGAACCAACTGAAGATACATTCAACTTTTGGCTTTACATTAGACAGATTGGTACTTACTTACTTTCTCTGATCCTACTTTTGCTTGGTTTTTCACCATCACTCAGGTCGGGCTTGGCCAGTTGCACTATCAAGGTGGGCGTGGTGTTCATCAGAACCACATGGTAGGTTTCTTGTGTTTTAGTCATGTAAAACCTACAACTTTCTGACATTTATCTTAAATGTTGCTTACATTTTCCTTTTGACCTCGGGAAAACATTTCCATAAGTAAGATATAGTTTGTTTATATTTTAGATTTTGGAATGTTTTAGTGATATTGGTCATTTGTTTATATTGCATCAAATTGTCCATATTCATTGTGAAATACTTCAATTACATGTTCTGTCTTCTCTAGCCCAAAGGCAATACATACTAGAATCACTAACTAGCTTCTTTCTTAGCTGTAGGCCAAGTGAATGTTGTTAACTGCTCATTTTTGAGGATTTGACCATCAGCCACTGTACTCACAGCCATCAATGAAATTGCCTTACCCAGAAAGTCCTGGCCTAGTTCGGTTTCTTATTTTAATGCTGATTGTAACGTTCACTGTTTTCCTCCTACAGAGGGCATTTGAGTACTTCACACAAGCGGCAGAGGCTGGGGATCCAACAGCACAAGCTTTCCTAGGAAAGGTAGGAAAAAAACTGATCTGAAAAAAGAGTCTTCAGATAGCCAGCACAGCGTGCAGTCTTCTGGTCCATAGTTTAGTACAGAAAGTATAGAGAATGCTTAAAAACTACCGTGATCCCATCCAACTATCAGAGACTTTTGGAAGACTGTAAAGATGAACAAAAAAAATTGACTGGAGCAGGATTTGAACCTGCCACCTCCAGAACACCGTACCTATGCTCTACCAGCTGAGCTATCCAGCCCTGTTTTGGTGGCTCTTCCCATTTGTCAATATCTTTGTGGGGGGGAGTGCTAGCCAGAAGCCATTAAATCCTGAAACACCATGAGATTGTTGAACTTTAGAAGCTTCAATGAAAGTGAGCTGTGGATTGGTAACAGATGTACGGAGCTAGACGGCCACATTCAAAAGTGGAGAAAGTTGGCAATGGTTTTAGCAATGACAGAATCGCTAAGTCAGACAAAATCACTAAGTCAGACTCTCAGTTTTTATGTTTCTCACATTTTCCTGAGAACTTTTGCCGCTCTAACTTTGCAGCTTCTTTAAACCTTTCGACTTGGCAGCAAGTTTTCCTTTTTCCCCAAAAAGTCTAAGTTTGAGTTCAAAATGGATATTTTCCACCCTAAAACTTTATTGCGCCAAGTATTTCAAGTAAAACCTTACAAACAAAACGAGTACACAAAGAAATACACCGACAAATATTTGCAGAGAACTTCTTTTCCTCTTATTTTTCTTGTCATTTCTCTTCTTGTGGTTTCTTTTCATTTCTCTTTTTTTCATTGAAACAGTTCAACGCATAAAATGAGTAAAATAAATTTCCACTCTTTGCGATCAAATAAAAGGCAAAACTCATAAAAAAGGCAAGAACTTTGCGTCACTGTTACTTTTCAAAATAAGAAATGGTAACATATTTCCTGACTATGACCAATCTCCTTACACCTGTACAAGGAATTTTGCTGCTTTTTCAAGGGATGAAAATATATAACATGTCCTGAAACTTGTACATTCAATAAAGTTTGTTATTTTGGTTATTGTTTCAAGGGATGAAACTATGACAACTCCTAAAACTAGTACCATTGTTTTTACTCACAGGTAAATGAAGTATTCTTTTACACCAGATAAAATAGGGCAACAAGTCGTTAAAAACACAAAAGAATGTCCGTGAAAATGGAAACCAAATGTTCAAGTGCCCCTCAGTGGACGATGTGGTACTCATTGAAGCAGGGGACGATGCAGAGGGGCTGGTGGCATGAGTCTCACTTGATGTGTGTCTTCTTTTGCTGACCTTGGGAAGCACAGAGGACATACCACCGGTATCGGAAGTCGCCATAGCTGGTCCTCTCCAAGGCGACGAGGAAGTGGCTGTCGATGAAGCGGGAGTTGGTGGCTGGTGGAGTAACGTGCTGGGGGCAGTACTCGGCCAAGGGCTCCTCGAACAGACGCTCACGGACAAAACTCAAGCGGTAGTCGAGGCAGTGACCAACGGCCAGGTACACGGAGTAGCTGTTCACCAGGGTCAAGTCGAGCAGGTAGAAGAGCTTCTTGTACCATTTGAGGGACTTACGAGTTGCTCGATGATTTGCCGCTAGTTGGTCACTCTTGTCAACGCCCCCCCATCAGGGCGTTGTACTCGATGATGCAGGTCAGTTTCTGCTTTTCCTCCCCCCTCCTGTCTTGCTTGCCGGAGCCACTGATGTCTTTCGTATGCATGGTGGAGAGCATACGGATGTTGTGCTTGCCTCGCCACACTATGGCCAGGAGAGAACCGCTGACGCCCAGGTCAGCTGACTGGAATGCTGTTTCGCCCTACTTCAGCTTGACGGACTGCAGGTCTTTCAGTATGCCTTTTCTGTTAGCCATGACGATGCCAACGACATTGAACTTCTGGTTGTGAAGTCGTCGATACAAATCGGGACTGCTGAAGGCCCAGTCAAGGGCAAGGTTGTAGCCCTTGCCATTCAGGTTGCTCACCAGGTCCATCCCCACCTGTGTAGTTGCAGGGAGGTTTCCCTTGCTTTGGCCGGTGTAAATCTTGAAGTTGTAGCAGTGCTCTGACACAACTTATACATCTTGATGCCGAAGTGGACCCTCTTTCTTGGGTTGTAGGTGGCGAAGCCGAGATGTCCGTAGAATTTCAGTAGGGAATCATTGACCAAATGTCCTGTTGAGGAATGTAGACAGTGGCAAACTTCTCAACAAGATGGTGGATGAGTCGGCGCACTTTGAAGAGGCGGTCAGGGCAGTGCTCCGGTATGGCACTGTTGTCGTTGAAGTGCAGGGACTGCAAGATGGCAAGGAAGCGGTCTCGGGCATGATAGACGGGAACAGGCTCAACCTCAGTAGTGGGTCGGTGGACCAGTAGCTGTGAAGGGTGGGATGCTTTGGGATGCCCGTCATTATGCAAAGGCCCAGAAAGGCCTTCAGTTCTCTGGCGTTCAGATCAGTCTATGATCACATGTGCGACGATGTCACAGCAGGTCTCTGCATGACATACCGGTTGATCTCTTGCACTATCTTGTTGTACAGGACATTGTCGAAAAACAGCTCAAAGGCCCCACTGCATGTTGAGCTGCGATGCAGGCAGGGATTGACGGCACCACCATTACCGGTGAAGCCGTACTTCAGCGGTGTACTGTCTTCATCTGTCCACTGGAACGGTGCGGCACTGCTGCTGGTCGACGCGGCGGTCTGTGTACGGGACTGTCTCTTGCGCTTGGCGTATACCGCCAAGGGTACGTCACTGTCTATCTCTGTACTTGACTGTACTCGGGCAGGTGAAGGTGGTGATAAAGAAGATGAGGAACCCTCGTCTGAACTGAGATAAAACTCGCTTTCATCACTGGAGGAACAGGACTCTCTGGATATAAATTCAGCCATGTTGTCTGCACTCTGATGCAGTGCTTACACTGCAAACTTGAGACCCGCTATGCACACAAATCGCCACTGCATGGCAATTTTGTTCTCAAGCAGCGTCGGGCCAAGCCCTGTCAGTCAACGTGGCAAGGACCGGCAGTGCCCAGACTGGGTCATTCATGGGCACACCTGCATAATGAGCCTGCACAGCGTGCTTTGTCTGCAGTGATAATCCGCTTTCGTCTCAATATATGGACATGTAATTTCATACTGGGTATTAAAAGGAAGTTGATGGTTGTTGGCAATTGAGTGATTGCCCTTCATGGTTTTCAATGGTTCCTTGCCATGTCAAATTAACTGTCACTGAGTACCAGTTTCAAAGGGTTTATTGGGTGAAAGATTCCGTCTCTCCCCTAAGTGTCATGGTCTCTCAACAGTTTTACCAACGGTCTTGACTAAAGGATAAGAAAGCACCAACCTGCTAACTCCCTGATGGCTTCTGTTCATTTTATAGATGTACTCCGAGGGAAGCCCGGTGGTTAAACAGAACAACTTGACTGCCTTCCAGTACTTCAAGAAGGCAGCAGACCAGAACAACCCTATTGGACAGAGCGGTCTTGGTTTGATGTACATGTATGGACGTGGCACTACCCAGGTATGAATACACAGGCCTGTTACATCTTCAGCAGTTCTCCCC